TATTCCTTGTCTGTTGAGCTACACCACCGTTCTCCTACACTACAGGTTTAAATGTCCAAATGGTAAATATCTATTACACGCTTTAAAATGTGTTAAGTAGTGATCTGTCAAAGCAAGGTACAGTTGTGTGACCGCACAACGCACCAAAAATACCGTGCGCACACCGTGCATACATCGTTCACACACCGTCCGTACATCGTCCACACATGGTGCGCACAACTGTGCGATTTAACAATCGTTCGCCCCGTTGTGAGCTTTTCTCCGCACAACTGTGCGATTTGGTACAATTTGTTGATAAATATTACGGAATGAAAAGAATACGGAAGGCTCGTATGCAATAATGTACACTGTATATATTACTGAAATTTCTCATCACAATAATTAAGATTATGTACAATTTTTCAATGCGTGTTACACAGTGTTACGGTGACCGTTAGACTGTCAAGAATGGGTTTAGCTTCTAGGTAACAGAACAGGTAAATAACAATTTGATGAGTGACCGGAGTTTTACCCGGCCTGTCCCTGACACATAGAGCTGATATGTGATACCGTATGACCGTTATGAAAACACAACTGGATGTTAAGTATTTGTTATTTGCTTTCGTTTTGGTCTATAGCTCCCCTTCACCTGGTTTTCACACTTTGGCGAGTTACGCAAGTGCCCCGGGCGGGGGATAACTACGGTCTGGGTACAGGTACCAAGTTGCTATGTTTACCTGTATTGCCGAGAATGTGTTGTAATTTTACATGTGTCGATTTAGGTTGTTTCTAAATTTAAGAAAGTATAGAGAGAAAGATAATCTTATAGATGCAGCTAGAATAATTATAGACCCATACTAAATAATCAAGTTTATGTGATTAAACACATGCACAAAACCGTATTTATTGTTGAGGCATTCCTCAATTTACACCAACCACGATTGTTATCGCACAACATTCGCCTATCGTCCGCACAAATGTGCGCAAGCAATGATCGTCCAATTTTTTATCGTTCGCACTTCGTGCACACATCGTGCGCACACCGCACATCGTGTAACGTTGTGCGATCCCACAACTGTTTATATATAGTAAAAATGATCAAATGTCAATGTGAAGTAGGTAATTATAGAAAAAAAGTTAAAACGAACGACTAGAAAAAAACCCCAAGCTGCTTTCGTCCTTCAAATGGCTCATCCGGTGTATTTAAAAAACACAACATCATGACGTCATTATTTCATGTCATCATACTACAATAGCAACAGGACGTCACAATATATGCAAAATTGATGGTGCAAACATTACTGTGGCCTGTTGGGATTAGTTTTGATATTTTTATTAAATGGTCTTCTTTCTTTTCTCTTGTGTACATTGTGACGTCACGTTACTATTGGAGTGTGATGGCAGCGAATTTTGACGTCATGGTGTTGCCCTTTCGAAATAAAACTGAATGGACAAGCAATTTATATTTTACATATATATAATACATAAAATTATCTGATGCCAAAGGCAATACAACTGTAACAATAAATATAACCCGTGTTACGGAATGTGCTTCATATTTATCATTTTATCTCGGCAGGTGCATGCAATTTTTTTTCTCATTTGTATAATTATATGCTATAATAGTTTTTTTATTTCATTACAGGACATGTATACGCTATTGGAGACTGCGGTGGCCGCACGACACAGGGGACCTGCCCAGAATGCAAAGTGACTATAGGAGGTGGTTCCCACACACTGCGGTCGGACAAAACATTTGCGCCTGAAATGGACGACGCAGCTGCGCCAGCTTGGTCTACTTTTAGACACGCTGGAATGGTAAAATGCTCCGAAAAAGACACGAAAGAGTGCGCTGAACAATGTCAAGATAGCTTGGAACGTAAACATCATCGGTCTGGACACTAGTGTAAATGTCCAAATGGTAAGCATCTATTACACGCTTTAAAATGTGTTAAGTAGTGATCTGTCAAAGCAAAGTATATATATAATAAAAAATATCAAATCTCAATGTGAAGTAGGTAATTATAGAAAAAAAGTTATAACGACCGACTAGAAAAAAACAAGCTGCTTTCGTCCTTGATATGGCTCATCAGGTGTATTTCCAAGGCACAACATCATGACGTCATTATTTCATGTCATCTTACTACAATAGCAACATGACGTCATAATATATGCAAAATTGATAGCGCAAAAAAAATACTGTGACCAGTTGGGATTAGTTTTGATATTTTGATTAAAGGGTCTTCTTTCTTTTCTCTTGTGTACATTGTGACGTCACGTTACTATTGTAGTGTGATGGCAGCGAATTTTGACGTCACGGTGTTGCCCTTTCGAAATAAACCTGAATGGACATGCAATTTTTATTTTACATATATATTACGTAAAGTTGTCTGATGCCAAAGGCAATACAGCTGTTACAACAAATTTAACCCGTGTTACGGAATGTGTTTTATATTCATCATTTTATCTCGGCAGTTGCATGCATTTTTTTCTCATTTGTATAATTACATGCTATAATAGTTTTTATTTTATTTCATTACAGGACATGTGTACGCTATTGGAGACTGCAATGGTGCAACGACGCAGGGGGCCTGCCCAGAATGCAATGCAACTATTGGAGGTGGTTCCCACACACTACGGTCGGACAACACATTAGCGCCTGAAATGAACGGCGCAGCTGCGCCAGCTTGGCCTGCTGCAATGATTCACAATATTGAGAATTTCCGGTTAGACCAATGAAGTATTTTGACAAAAAGGAGGAGATATATACTGACATTAAAAAGTGTTATTACATCATAGACTGAAATATTGTTTTATATGTATTCACCATGTCAACGACTCCAGATTCCTTTTTCATTGAGGGTTATCAGTATTTTGTTTTACTAAATTTGAATGTATATCCCAGAATTAATACATTACTCAAAAAATGAATTACGTTATATCCTTATTATTCGTAAATACTCCTTTATTACTGGAATTAAATACATTTTTTTAGATGTATTGTTTTAGAAGAAGCTGAATTTATATTTGCATGTGTTATTTTAATTTTTTTTTTTTTTGGCATATGACTGAATAGTATATTTTTTGTGATGTTATTGTAATCTAATAATATTCTTTTTACTTCGGTTAAAGAGGAATGAAATGTGTACCCAGTTGTATAGCTAAAATATTGCAATGTTTGTATAATCAAATGGGTATACTGAAACCATGTTTGTTATTTAGTGTATGTTTGCGGTTTTTAAATTGTGTATGTAAGTTAACATGAACATGAGTATTGTAATTGGGCGTTTTATAAGTGGCGTCATACACCCAAAGTCTCGTGGATCGTGGTCTCTTTTTAGCAGATTTGATAGAAATATTGCATGCAACACGATATATTGTATTCATACAAATTCATTGCTTATTGAACATCTTAGATGATTTTTTATTTTATATGAAACTATAAATAAGTGTTTTTTTGTAAATCATGTACCAATGTGACTTAGCGAGTTGTATTTAGCGTTTTAGAGTCGCCACACCGGTGAAACAGACGTTTTCGAAAGTTCGCAACATAAGTTTTAAATTCCTGTTTGTGTTAAAAGCCACATTTGAGCTGAAGTTTACAATTGTGAATACTTTCATAAATCAAGTATAAAAACTACTATAAGTTTATGTTCATCACATAAACAAATATCGATAAAAATAGCAGTTTCCAATATCGGCATTTGTCTTCAAGCCTTTTGTCATTATGGCATCACAATATAATATATATATATATATAAATTCAGTGATGCCATGAAGTAGTGACGTCATCATATTACGTGTACAATGGGAAACTCTCAGTCAACCTCAGCTCCACAACGTATTATTAAGCTTGCGTTCAAAACACAAGTTTCTGAGCTGATTTTTCATTTTTTTTTTTAATAACTTTGCTCATTCTATCTTGTGTTGAATTACCGTGCATCCGAACGTGATGAAGTAATCACTATATACCCAGAATGTGTATTTTGAATGTGTGTATTACTTTTTTTCAACCTACAGATATGTTTTGTTTTTAATTTTGAAATACGGAGTTGCGAGCCGTAAATTTTCTAGGCACCGAAAACCTAAGTGAAATATTTGTAAGTCTAAACTACAAGATATGCCATAGATAAATTGATTTATTAACATAACGTTAAACGTTTCATATAGTTTTATCAGATGATAACCTAAGTATAACATTGTATCCTTTTGAAGCGCTATCTATATGGTTTGTATACCTTTATAAATCTTGACACATACCCACTGAACCATGAAGTCAATCTTTGAAGCGTAACGTTGTATAATTAAAGCTTACTGTACCGAGCTTTCTCTAATGATACTGTTTGCAATAGTTGACATTACAATGTAAATTTTTGACCTCCCCTTAGTTTAAGTTGTATACGCCCGTCAAATTTGACGGGAGTATTATGGTATGGCGTCGTCCTTCTGTCCGTCCGGCGTAAACTTTTGTGTGTTCGGCAATCTTCCCCTTCATTTTTCGACCGATCTCTTTGAAACTTGGTATACATTATAATCATGATATGAAGTTGTGTCTCCCTTAAAATAATTTTGATTCGACAATTGTTCTAAAAGTTATTGCCCTTTGTTCATTTCAGTATTTTATTTTTTGTCCGGTAATCTTCACCTACATTTTTTGACGGATTTCTTTGAAACTTAGTAGGCTCAATAATCATGATATGTTTTTTTGTGTTTCCCTGAAAGAATTTTGTTTCGACGATTTTTGCAAAAGTAATTGACCTTTGTTGATTTCAGTATTTGATTTTTGTCCGGCAATCTTCTCCTACATTTTTCAACGGATCTCTTTGAAACTTGGTATACATTATAATCATGATATGAAGTTGTGTCTCCGTTAAAATAATTTTGATTCGACAATTGTTCTAAAAGTTATTGCCCTTTGTTCATTTCAGTATTTTATTTTTTGTCCGGTAATCTTCACCTACATTTTTTGACGGATTTCTTTGAAACTTAGTAGGCTCAATAATCATGATATGTTTTTTTGTGTTTCCCTGAAAGAATTTTGTTTCGACGATTTTTGCAAAAGTTATTGACCTTTGTTGATTTCAGTATTTGATTTTTGTCCGGCAATCTTCTCCTACATTTTTCAACGGATCTCTTTGAAACTTGGTATACATTATAATCATGATATGAAGTTGTGTCTCCGTTAAAANTGACGGATTTCTTTGAAACTTAGTAGGCTCAATAATCATGATATGTTTTTTTGTGTTTCCATGAAAGAATTTTGTTTCGACGATTTTTGCAAAAGTTATTGACCTTTGTTGATTTCAGTATTTGATTTTTGTCCGGCAATCTTCTCCTACATTTTTCAACGGATCTCTTTGAAACTTGGTATACATTATAATCATGATATGAAGTTGTGTCTCCGTTAAAAGAATTTTGATTCAACGGTTTTTGCAAAAGTTATTGCCCTTTGTTCATTTCAGTTTTTGATTTTTTTTGTCCGGAGATTTTCTCCTACATTTTTTATAGCATGTCAGCTAAACACTCTTAGAATGATGCAGATCTTATTTCAACGTGTATGTTTTTCTCATTCCTATCACCAGAATTAGCTCTGAGAAATAAAAGAAAACAATAATCCTATCGCGGCATATGATTGTTTCTAATTTAACGTCACGTCATTTTTCTATCCCAATGCAACGTCACGGAAGTGATATGGGTGTAAGATAGAAATTCCATTATTTTGTGCAAAATGACAAGGCAAAACAAACCACCATGTTTTATTAGTTAATATTAACGTGTATATTAAGAGGTCATACATTTGTAGTAGTATTACTAAGCATTGTCATCTTCTGAATTTTGAGGTGTTACGCTTGCATACGTTCTCTGCACCCTTAGAGCATGTCATGATTAAATTGAAGGTACGCGGTTTGCAATTTGATGGTCTCATTATAAAAAGAACATGACAAATTGCAAGGTGATACCTGTCCTTTAAAGTTCACGTAAAATTGACACATTACCATAAAGACGGTCACATTTACCGTTACACTGCCGCGAAATGCTATTGATGGATCGCAAATGACCAGACTGATCTACTTGTATAAATGAAGCAGTGCGTACAGAGCTTTCGATTTTGTCATGACATATTCCAGGGGTGCTGAAATTTTGAGGATGTAGAGTTGTAGACCTTAGTCAGATGACGTCAATGTAGCAAAATAGAATTGTAGTATGCGTTTATTACCATGAAATGCATACATATATATATACGACTAAACTACACATACTGACTAGTGTACATACTATGTTATAAATAGGATGTATGCGCTTATATTTTATCGGTGTTCATGTCATGCAAGACTTATGAAGACAATTAAGGGTTGGTTTTTTTGTCATGTGTTTTTTTAATCAAGGTTCGGTAAAAGCTCGTAAAGTTAATGCTAGAGTCCACAGATCTGACGTAAAAACTTCCTGTATAAGACACTCATAATACATACATGAAAAGAAAGAAGAATTAATACACATGTACCTGATTTTCAGGTAAAATGTTTTCATAAAGAACAAAGGACATTGAATCGTATACCTGTCGTTTTAGATGCATAAAACATGATGGATGGGTGCATTGTTGAGAGGTGGTCTTAACTACATTTTCAGCATCCATTAATCCATAAAAAAAACATAGACATTTATTTAAGACATGAACCAGGTCAACGAAGATGTTTCACTTAATAAAGACTTAAAATGAGGTCAGTTCCTGAAACTGAGCTAACGTGAGGTGATGAATTCGTCTGATTGCGAATTCCTTTGTTGGTAACTGAAATACCACGTTTACTTTAGAGGTGTATTTCATTATTTCAGTGCTTTATATAAAGTTTTAGATTGTATTGTTTTCCTGAAAATATGAAACATAGTGTTGCAAAAATATGTGAATCCGTTGCATTAAAACAATTTGATATTTTTTATGTGAATTGTGTTATTATTAAAGATATACTGTATCCCCGGAAACTTTCGAACTGTCAATTGTTCGCCCTTTACTGGTAAAATCTGTATTCGACCAGTCAAATGTTCACATTCAATGGTAAAATCTGTATTCGCCCAGTGAAATATTCACCCTTCACTGGTAAAATCTTTATTCGCCCAGTCAAATATTCACCCTTCACTGGTAAAATCTTTATTCGCCCAGTCAAATATTCTACTAAAGCTGGTATTATAAGGGAAACGAACCAGGTAAGTATCTAGTCGCCAGGTTTCTACTGAAGCTGGTTTTATCAGGAACGCGAACCAGGTAAATATCAAGTCACCAGGTTTCTAATGACGCTGGTATTAACTGGAACGCGAACCAGGTGAGTATATAGTCACAGGGTTTCTACGCAAGGTGCTATTATCAGGAACGCGAACCAGGTAAATATCTAGTCACCAGGTTTCTACTGAAGCTGGTATTAACAGGAACGAGAAACAGGTAAGTATTTAGTCACCGGGTTTCTACGCAGGCTGGTATTATCAAGAACGCGAACCAGGTATGTATCTAGTCACCAACTTTCTAATGAAGCTGGTATTATCAGGAAAGCGAACCAGGTTAGTATCTTGTCACCACATTTCTAATGAAGCTGGTATTATCAGGAACGCAAACCAGGTAAGTATCTAGTCACCAGGTTTTTATTGAATCTGGTATTATCAGAAACGCAAACCAGGTAAGTATCTAGTCACAGAGTTTCTACGCAAGCTGTTAATATCAGGAACGCGAACCAGGTAAGTATCGAGTCACCAGGTATCTAGTGAAGCTGGTATTAACAGGAATGCGAACCAGGGAAATATCTAGTCACCAACTTTCTACTGAAGCTTGTATTAACAGGAACGCGAACCAGGAAAGAATCTAGTTGCAGGGTTTCTACGCAAGCTGGTATTATCAGGAACGCGAACCAGGTAAGTATCTAGTCACCAACTATCTAATGAAGCTGGTATTTTCCGGAAAGCGAACCAGGTAAGTATCTAGTCACCAACTTTCTAATGAAGCTTGTATTATCAGGAACGCGAACCAGGGAATAATCCAGTTGCAGGGTTTCTACGCAAGCTGGTATTATCAGGAACGCGAACCAGGTAAGTATCTAGTCACCAACTATCTAATGAAGCTGGTATTTTCCGGAACGCGAACCAGGTAAGTATCTAGTCACCAACTTTCTAATGAAGCTTGTATTATCAGGAACGCGAACCAGGGAATAATCTAGTTGCAGGGTTTCTACGCAAGCTGGTATTATCAGGAACGCGAACCAGGTAAGTATCTAGTCACCAACTATCTAATGAAGCTGGTATTATCCGGAACGCGAACCAGGTAAGAAACTAGTCACTAGGTGTCTATTGAAGCTGGTATTAATAGGAACGCAAACCAGGTAAGTATCTAGTCACCGCATTTCTATTGAACCTGGTATTATCAGGAACCCGCACCAGGTAAGTATCTACGAAGCATTCCCTCTATCGCTTAAATCAACACAGACGTTGTTGAATCCACTTGAAAAGGTGTATTGGCGATATTTTGACCAGTCTTCATTCTGATGTTATAACATGTGTGGTGTATGTGATTACGATTTTAGGCTGTGAGTGAGGATGGTGTTCAAGGGAATTTATGTGGATTTTGAGTGTATTGCATGTGTATATTTGATCTTAATCTAGGATGATGGCTGCAGTGAAGTTATTTATTGATGTATTTCTGTGCATTATGTGGTTTCGTGATTGCAGGATATATGTCCAAATGCGTGCTCTTCGGCACCTGTATAGGTAGCTAGACTGAGTATATGTTATTGTGTGTATCTACGTATTATACGGGTATGGTATGTGTGATGTGTGCAATTGAAGTATAAGAAGCTGGTTTCTATCATCTCATATGTTCCAAAATTTGATTGTATGTTTTACCAGTTTCTTTCATTGTATATAGTGACAGACCTGCCATTCTGGGCTTCTGTATTCTCCGTAGCAGGAACAGCCATTATTTACACCTCTATAGTAAGAAGCGCTACTTTATATGCATTTAAACGTTATCCTTGTGGAACTGTGTAAATGACTTGTCACTAGAACTTGCTCAATGGGTCAGATAAAATGGAACTGTTGTCAAATGATAAGGTGTTTCTGTATTTTGTATACCTGATGACAGCTTTGAATGAATATCTGAACTTTTATTGAAGTACCTCCTAGAAAGACGCTTGCTGTCAATGAGCATAGCACCTGTTTAGAAAACTAAGTACTTTCTTGTCAAGGAGAACTTGTCTGTTCACAGCGTTGCTCCATGACTAAATACATAGAATATATATCAACAGCCGATGAATAGTTTGCATTTTATCAGGGAATTAATCAGGCTATTACAATAATAACTGTAACGTGAGTATTGAAGTATGCGACGGTATACATGTATTTGTAAGATAATAATTAAGACTATGATATAAATACTGGACAATCGGATATATAAGGTTTTTCTCATGTTGTTGAGGGTGTGTTAAATGTTTTGCTCAATACTTTTCATTCATTTTAAATAAATGTTTACCGAAGTGAACTTGATAAAACATAAATTATTATATAATTTTCTTTATTAATTCAATGACGGTAAATGTTTGATGCGGTGTAGATGAGCATTGGGATATAAAAAGTCGCGCTTGAATATGGCTTTTTTATTATCATTTATCTGTACAGTGCGGAATACGGTCGGTCCAGTAGACGGAATGGTAGCGTTATCTTATGTCATATGTTGGTACATGGCGGGTGTGTTAATGAATTCAGATGTCAAGCGGCCTCTGTGTACATATTTATGATAGAGCGAACTCAAGGTGGTCGTGTGGATGGATGTTTTATAATGTATTATTATAGATCTGTACAGGGCGAACACAAGGTGGTCGTGTGGATGGATGTTTTATAATGCTTTATTATATCTCTGTACAGGGCGGACTAAAGGCGGTGGTGTTGACGGATGTTTTATAATGTATAATTATATCTCTGTACAGGGCGAACACAAGGTGGTCGTGTGGATGGATGTTTTATAATGCTTTATTATATCTCTGTACAGGGCGGACTCGAGGCGGTGGTGTGGACGGATGTTTTATAATGTATACTTGTATCTCTGTACAGGGCGGAATCAAGGCGGTCGTATGGACGGGTGTATTACAATGTATCATTATGACCCTAGGGATGAGTGTTGTCGTCATAAAGGTAAACATACCAATATATAACGTTTATTTAATTACTTGAATCGAACATTTTATAGATAAGGTAATATTATATTTGTCTTATTGTCTAAGTAACACATTTTGTGGCACAACAATAAGTAAAACATGTTAAGGCAAGCAACGGCTCAGTTAGCCTTTCACCGCGATTTGATGATACAAATGTACCATACAATCATATTTATCGTTACGTCATTGTAAACGTTGGTTAAAGTATCATACATAATCAATTGCTATGGCTGTTTTATTACTCTGAATACTAATCAAATGCTATATATGTTGTCATTTGAAAATTGTTCGTAGTAAGCCTTCTGTAATATGATTATATTTATTTTGAGTTCTGACAACAATTGTCTTTGTACCCCTTTTGTTACCCTTATAAACTGATAGAATCAATATTACTATTATTGACTATTATTATTATAGATAATGCTGGAACTTTATATAATGTGTGTCGTATTTCTCTGTCTGGGACTGGTATCGGGTTCTTCCTGTTATAGGGTACGATGGATGTAGGACACATAGGAAGGGGGTTCCAAATTAACTACGAACATCTTAGACTCAATTATTTCAAGTAAGTGGGTAGCGACACGAACATCAAAATGTATTTGCCTCATATCTAAAATTCTGTTTCTGCGACGAATATCATATCAATTCAAGTTACAGAATAGCTAAGGAATACTCAGTACAATTATCGACTGCGTGAAAGAGTACAAAGCTGCCATATTTTTGTCAACTTTAGAAATTGGTCGTTCAATTAAAAAAAACAGGCAACGGTTCAGAGGATAAGTTCCGTTAAGTCTTTACAAGAAGGCAAACGGTAAGAAGACCTTTTTCACGGCGTTTGATAAATTTGAATGTTCTCCTTCAGAATTCCTATCCCTGGCACCTCCCACGTTATCTTGACCTTAGTATTAACGAAGAATTTAGAAAGAAACTTGGTTACAGCCATGTCACTAGGTTGGATATTAAATAATGTCAATATTGTAAGCAGATCTAAATGACCATCAATTATAATTAAACGTCCAAAAAGACACAAACAGAGTGATTATCCACTTATTTGATCAGCGCAAAAACTATTAGTTTTACATGTTGGACTGCAAAATCACCGGATTTTTGCAATGTCACCTTATTCACTGGACCTCTATATCACAATGCTGAAAAAAATATTCAAATGAAATGAGAAGTATCACAAGGTCAGGAAAATGATTAACAAACAAGAAAGAATTTAACATCAAATCTGAAGGAATATAATAATAAGGGAAAAGACACGTGGTTCGTTACTATGTGTGTACGTGGTTCTGGAATCGTCATGTTTCTGTTTATGCTAATGTGGCGGTTTATGACATTATCTATCGGCAAGAATTAGATATATCCGACGATTTCTTTAAAAATAATGACAAGCGTGAATATGAAATTGCATTTGTCGCTTTTGGACGTAAACTGATATTATTTTTTTCCTACATATGAATCATATTGTTTGCATGCAATGTCGCGTGTATCTAACCAGGTAAAACCGGGAAAGCGTACATGTTTTATTACGTTTTCACTTTCAGAATTATGTATTTTGCTGCTCCTGCCTTCTTCATTATCGCCCTTATAGTCAATATTGAAGGTCTAGTGATGTTTGCCTACTTTAATGTCGTCGGCTGCGATCCCACTGAATCAGGTCAGATAAATAATGCTAATCAGGTATGTATAAATTAATAAAAATCATTACGTCTTCGCGTCATAAAGAAAAATTGGTAAAGTCATTGATATCATTGCTATTTGAGCTTAATTCAGAAAGGATTGTAAGTGTCAGCATGATTTAAAATCCCTATGATTTGATTAAAAAGTATTTCAAAAGCACATAAATTTATATTACGAAATTGGCTAAGGTTTGAAATTAAACAACAAAAAAGGTACCTATTTTTAATTGTTCCAGTTGCTACCCCACATGGTGGTGAGGATATTTCACGGTCTTCCTGGACTCTCGGGGCTGTTCCTCGCTTCTTTGTTCAGTGCCTCATTAAGGTAGGTTACATAAAATACTTTAACAGTGGTGATTTATACATTATATCATAATGACTGTTAACGGACACTGTTGATTTTCTGGCCGACGGACCAGAGATAATTTATATGTGTATCCCTAGTGATTATTTCGATACTTACAAGGGCGACTAGTGTGTAATCGTGTACTAAAATATATAGACATTTATGTTATATGTAAGACCTGGTGTTAATGCCCTGTACAAGCTAGTTGCCTCTTTTGTCAATATTAGAACAATCGCGTATCATTTTTCGAACTGTAATCACACGACAGTAGAGCATTCTTTCTAGGGATATAATTAAACAAACTAATATATTTGGAAGTTGAATATATAAAAGATATCAAAAGAATAATGTTTACTTATGATTTATATCCAGAAGCAAATTGGCTGGTACGGGTTTATACTATTGAGTTAAATTAAATAAACTAAACGGACACGTTTAGGACACAGGCTTGGTAATTAGGGGATAACCCTACTGTATTTTGAGATTTGCGGCGGTATATCGTGATTGTACTGTCGCAAATTGAATTGTTTTTGCAGCACGGAGCGGAGCCAGTAAAACAGGTATTTGAGTAAGTATAATTACGATATACCGCCGCAAAAAATAAAAATACAGTAGGGTTATCCACATATAATCCACAAAACCAAAAAAAGACGATTTTAAGATATCTGGTTCACTCCTCCGTGGAATGGTGACGTCAGGAATATTCAAAGTGAGACATAATTACGTTTACCTTGCGGGGTCATGCTTTTGTTCATGACGTCATTAATAATCAATTTCATGACGTGTCAGAGTCATTCGGGGTCAATGACTGCATTAACAATCGCCATCCGGGCTTCATAATTATGCAGATGAGAAAATTGTAGACTGCATATATTATTTTGATTGAACAATCAAATGTCGTGTTACATCGCAAATTAATTAGAATATCTGTTTTACAGCACAATTTCATCTGGACTAAGTTGTCTAAGTGCTCAGACAGTACAAGACTTCATTAAACCCCGATATAATGACATGTCCGTTGGAAAAGCCACGGCGATTGCCAAAGTATCAGGTAAAGTTAATGTATAATACATTACATTAAAGAGGGTTTTTAAATATTTTTTTCTGACCGTTCTTCTGATTTGCCATTGCAACTTATGCCTTCTGGTGATACTATTTTTCTTTGATAAATATTACCAAATATTCACTATATTGTTTAAGTGGGGACATGCATTACTAAATCAACTGACAACCAATTGGTGGAAAGCTGTTTATTTATTATGTCGCAATCAATCAAAGACCCAGTCACTCTTCAAGTAAGCAAACGATATCGTCTACTTACAATGCGACAAGATAATCTCCCTATAGTTTCATGAAATATCAACACTTTTTTTTAATATTATCTGTGATTTTAAATTGTTCAAAATAAGTATTGTTGCATGTTTCAGTCTTTTTCTACGGAGGGATGTCTGTCGCTGTCACAGCGTTGATAGCCAATGTTTCGGGATGTATGAGTCAGGTATAGGATAATATGCAATTTAAAAAGAATACTTTATACAGGGAAATGTTCGCCGCAATTTATCTTTTGCCTTTTTCACCTCCTGCAAGAAGTGGAATATATCATTACAGCGGTTAGTATGATATGTATGTTATCGGCGTAGGGCAAAAGTTTAACTGGGACAGTATAAACAGGAATCATACAAACAGAACACGACTGTCTTAGGTGCTTCTATAATTAGTTTAGCTTAAGCTTTGTTTTATTTAAACATACATAATGTCAACATGAAAAAAGTGTTGAATTTCGTAACCGATATTTACAACTACAGCTTCAGGGGTAGTGACGTAAACAAGGATTCTTTTCATGGGTTGAAGGCAGAAAGAGTACGGGAATTATAGTGAACAAATAACGTACATGTAACAATACACTGTTTCATGAAAATGGTATAAAGGGACTTAAACAAAAGATCTTATGGCATTATTATAAGTAAAACTTGAGGTCCGTCATTAACTGACTGGACATGTCGGTAGATATAATTGAAAAAGAATTAAATAAAATCGCTGCAAAGATACTGTTGTGAATTTGGTGTGTTATTAAAAACCGCCACAACATGTAATTGAGAACTGCTCTCAAGTCCCAAAATCTATTAGAATAAGCGAAGGAAAATCACTCACGTGTGTACTTGTGGAATGTCACGATATAAAGAGACCGCGCCAATACGACACAGCTAGGTTGTTGCGTAGCTCGACGAGATCTCGTCCGGCGGGGCCCACGGTTCAAGGCAGAGAACTCTCCCGAAATTCACCACAATCCATTCCAGAACGTATTTTTATACATTATGATGTGTTACTCTCTAATGATAATGTGGATTTTGTTTACATACGTCGTCAGTTGTTGTGATAAAGTTTTATTGCAACAGCTTTGTGATACTTTCAGGTATTGGTTTATACTATTGTCTTTTGCATCCTACGTTCACATAAGATTCAATCTACGCATCGGAGCTGATACTGCCCTCTTGATGTCGCCAATCACTTACTCTGTATTATTGGTCAACTTTGTGGTCATTAAAATTATTACCTGGACATTTGGACTAATTTTGACTATCATTTTTCTTAATGATACATTGTTATGTAAGAGTTTACCTTTGATATTACTGAACCATTTATATCGTCTTACTTCCAAATATTGATTTTCATTTAAAGTTTCATATATTTTCCAGATACATGTAGCTGCTTCAATACTTACCTGTTTTGGAGGTCCTCTGTCCGGCATGTTCCTCTTTTCCATATTTTGTCCATGGGCAACTAAAAAGGTGGGTTGTACTACACAATTCACAAATGCGTGATATGGGTGTTCATCACTACAAAGGAATAATTGTACATTGTTGAATATAATCATATTGAACGGTATTTCATTTCCATTACGACTGTTGAGAAATTGATTACGTCATCACAAACGTGTTTATAGCATCTATTGTGAAATCATGCAGATCAATGATATACGTCATGGACTGGTGGTAAAGGAAAAAATGAAAGCTTTATGTCTTGTTTTTTTCTCTTCTTTTGAGAAGGTTTATTTTGTCAGCTTTCTTAAAATTTCAACAGCTTTGATAACGTAAGTGATACAAAATAATTTCAAACTAAATATGTTTATTAGAGTTCGCAAAACTCTTTTGCATATTCTATGAAACTGAAACTCACAGATACTGAACTGAACTTGCATTGATCACGCCACATTTATAATGGTTCTGGTTCAATAAAAAATATTGAAACGTTTTATAAAAGGCGTCCATCCAATTAAATAACACTTTTTATCAAATGCAATTTTAGCATGTTTTCTGTATTACAGGGTGTCGTCATCGGCGCGGTAATATCGATGATATTTGTTTTCTGGATATCCCTCGGACAGAACTTCTTCACGTCTAAACCAAGTGAGCCTTGGCTGCCACCAAACCCAACAGATCAATGCTCTCTGGATTCGACATTCTACACAAACACAACTTTGATGACTAATTCAACTGTTTGCTACAACTCATCAGCTTGGCATCCGTCGCATCCTAGCAACACATCTTCACGAATAACAACATACCAAAAAGAAATGGAAATCTTCAATACCATCAAAGCGTAATTACTTTACATATTGCGTATTGAATATGAAAACGTGATTTATATATCGATGGTGTATACACAATTAAAATGTCGATTGGAACATTGAATGATTAACAATAATAACGTCATCAATTCAAAATGATTCAAACATATATTTGCGTTTTGTGTCACAGCCTGGGTTACCTGTATATGCTATTTTACATGTACACCATACAGCTCAACCGTTTTATTATCCTAACGTACAGAATTACGCAGGAGTCCCATCAATTCACATCTGTTTTGTGTACATTTCAAATGTGTTATCATTTCATATCGTCCTTGATGATAATTAGGGCGAATGTAGCATTAACGGGACATTAGTAGACAATATGATATGCATTACTGAGGAGGCGATACTAACACGGGGCGAATATGGTTAATTCTTGTGAAGAGTGTACATTTTATTTGGCGAAAAAATCCTGGTATACAGTATAAATTCGGTGATAATTTTTCATTAACTCTTTCCTATCTTTTTTCGACAACCCAGACAAGGTATTGACAAGTTATTTTCCCTCTCTTTTCGTTGGTTTGGGGCCGTGGGACTACTATTGACGATTGTGCTAGGATCTATCGTAAGCCTGATGACAGGTAATGACATGAAATATGATACAACGTAAAAGTTTTTTAAATAATTGATGTTCTTCTGGAACGATTTTAAAGTTGAATGAACTTTATTCGGTGTATATTGAGATTTTGTAGTTAAGAGTATGTAGCTCCTTAAATGAGCAGGAAATGAAAGGAAAACAATTACCAAATGTTGATTTATTTGAGTATCCAATTTTAAAAGAATGATAGTTAAGCTATATGTTGTTTTTTTAAATGCTGTGATCAACGGTTATATAATAATGTGTGTCTGTGTGTTTGTGGATTAAATCAAATGGTCTATGCATATTCAAAATTTGCATATAAGAGAGTTGTTTATAGCATTTCATATACATATATCATGCTAATGGACAAAACGCCGGACCATTATACCGTGTAGAAAGCCACTCAAATATTCTGGCACAAATACATGAAAAATAAATCATAGTGTTTTTAGTCAAAATATGTATTTTCAACGCGTATACAAATGTATAAAAATAGAATAGGGGTTTATGAATCTTTATGACAACTATTAGGTAGAATACGAACAAAAAATGCTTCAACATAATCTCTATTGTTCCATGCAAATAATAGCATGTCAATCTGTTTCAGACATTATATAACTAGCGAAGGATTCCGATTAAATCTATACATATACTGTAAGAAATACATGTACACGAGTGATTATTGCACATGGCAGAAAGCACACGACAACTCCGAATTTAAATAAGGCGCGCCATTGTAGATTACACAGAGTAACCTAGTATCTCAAAATAAGTCGAGGGGTAACTTCATTGTATTTCAAATTTACTTTGATAGAAGCAAAATTCACTTATTGATCACCGAGGCTGAGTTGCAGTTTTTAAAATTTCTTGAAAATTAAATCAAAATATATCTATTTATAAACTATTTATAAACTATATTACCTTGCCGAATCGCAATTGGCGTTATATTAACATTGTCTAAATTTCGAGTATTTGAGATATATGACATGGTTTTTTTTTTATATTTCAGCGTTTAGCTACATGTACACATCACAAAAACAACTTTAACTTAGCCCATTTTCCTTGCACTGCTGTAGAGATCGCTAATAATTATTACATATAACATATCTATGTTCAGAATGTAAATATTGTAAAACGTTAATGACCGTGTGACGCGATAGAGAACATTATTATTTGATTATGGCTATTCAACCAATATTGTATTACCTAAATGTAGACAAAACAGGAAGTGATGTTTGGCATAGTATTTATCATTCTGGCTTCTGATTGGTTGAAGTTGCCCAGCGATGAAAAAAACTGTGTAATGTTGTGTTTTTGTGTTAAATCATTATTGTTTTTATCAGCAATGAATACATCATTTATACGCATTCATTTGTTACGAAAAAAATCAATTATGTCTGACTTTTAAATTGAATTATACGGGTCAGCAAATAATTATTTTTGGGGGGTTATATGGTATATACTAAAAACACTATGACTTTGCATAAATCCACAGTGTTTTAGGTATACATTGTATACCCAATAGCCCCATAATAATCCTTGATTTGTCTTAAATAGATATCGTATTCAATGTAGAACCTTACTTAATTTGATATTTAGGTTATCCAGCACCAGATGAAGTAGATGTGAGATACATTTTACCTATTGGGGACCAGTTGTTTCCCTTCCTTCCAAAAAAGGCCCGTCGGTGGTTAGAGTTTGGGGTCGACTTTAACAAGGTAAATATTATATACACACAAAGAATATATTGAGCTTCATAGATGATATTCTGATTGATTTCGTGGTAAGTGAAAAAAATGTCACATTCTAGAAATGAGACACTGCATCAAACCGCATTGATGTTTCTCTTTGTCAAAATCAAGTTTGGAATTGAAATACACAGTTTATGAATGCTTCACCTTATGAAATATTCGACCATTTAACACCATACATGCATTATTGTCTCTCTAACAGCACCTAAATACAATTACATGAAGGAAGTCTTTAAACATCTTGGATAATAATTTTTAATTATATAACTATTTTATTATATCTTATTTAATGTCATTCTGACTTACACTCAGAGTATTTGCTTTTTTTTCTCTCTAAAATTGTAAGCAGTTGACATTTTTCTGATTATTGTTGTGTTTGGGTACATGTCTGTCGTCACTCATGTTATACTGATAGAGTAACACTCCACTATTTATAGTCATCTGAGCGATTGATAGATAACTATTAAGATTAAGGAGATGAGCGTCACTCTAAAAGTGTTTTTTCGGTCTGGAGTATTCATTATTTTTATTTAATCGTTGAAGCAACACAAAAAAGCGTCTTTTTGGCCAAGAATCGCTCACTTACTCTCCCGTTTTGGTGCTCTGCATTCATAATTTCTGGATATCGACATCGGAAAAGTGTAAGTGTGGCAGGGGAAAGATCCAGTTTTTTTCCTTTTCATATTTGGTTACTTTGTTTTTTGTCTCAAGTACCTTAATTTCGAATGAATATTGTTCGGTAAATTAGATGCATCGCAAGAGGTGAATTTTAGAAACATTTCGGAAATTTCAAAATAATAACGACTCAGGAAATTATATTAATTTAATTTAAGTTGCCCTTAACATTATTTTTTTAAAGCGGGGCAACTAACATTACATTGTACGATAAGAAATTTCATAATAATCAAGTCCACACGGCAAAGTTCAGTAGACAAAGAAGCATGAACGCTATTTTGTCTTAATCTAATAATAAAAAAACTATTTGAGGTAGTAAAATAAGTTTAACTCATAAAGATATTTTACGATTTAGCGAAGAAGATGGTTAGAACAGCAGTCTGAGGAGACGATCGTCCCTACTGATCTTTATGGAGAAATTGATGTGGAACTTGACGAGGTCAAAGACACCCTGCCGATTAGCTATGATAGTGATTTAGTTAACTAGACTGCTTAATGTAATGGATAGAATAAATATCGAACAGTAATAAGTTTTGTGGCACAAGTGTTTTTGAATATTTTAGACTTTTACATATCAAATTACATTTCATTGTTTAGTGGGAACATGAACAGTTGGAAGAAACAACACATTGTGTCACTGTTAAATCAGATAAACCCGATTTATGTAATAGAAATGAAATACACGTCATAATTCTGTGATGAATTTGACTCTAAACTAAGAAAATAACACTATCATACTAATAAAAGATTACAACATCATTTAATTTTCTATTATAATCTAGATATGCTGTGTAGGTCTTTGCCAAAACCTGTGCGTTTTTCGTATGCATTTTTGTAAATTTTCAAATAAAATGTACGATTGTTATCATTAGTGTTAAGTGTAGAGTGATATCGTTAATGAACAGTAACTTAACGTGGCAATCAACACTGCTGTGTATGTTAGTGGCGCTGCCTGGGCTGTGGAATGTTTTATGTTAGTGGCGCTGTCTAGGCTGTGAATGTTTTTTGTTCGTGGCGCTGCCTAGGCTGTGGAATGTTTTATGTTAGTGGCGCTGCCTAGGCTGTGTAATGTTTTATGTTAGTGGCGCTGTCCAGGCTGTGGAATGTTAGTGGCGCTGCCTAGGCTGTGGAATGTTTTATGTAAATGGCGCTGCCTAGGCTGTGGATTGTTTTATGTTAACGGCGCTGCCTAGGCTGTGGAATGTTTTATGTAAGTGGCGCTGCCTAGGCTGTGGATTGTTTTATGTTAGTGGCGCTGCCTAGGCTGTGTAATGTTTTATGTTAGTGGCGCTGTCCAGGCTGTGGAATGTTAGAGGCGCTGCCTAGGGTGTGGAATGTTTTATGTTAGTGGCGCTGCCTTGGCTGTGGAATGTTTTATGTTAGTGGCGCTGCCTAAGCTGTGGAATTTTTTATGTCAATGGCGCTGCCTAGGCTGTGAATGTTTTATGTTAGTGGCGCTGCCTAGACTGTGGAATGTTTTATGTTAGTGGCGCTGCCTAGGCTGTTGAATGTTTTATGTTAGCGGCGCTGCCTAGGCTGTGGAATGTTTTAAGTTAGTGGCACTGTCTAGGCTGTGGAATGTTTTATGTTAGTGACGCTGCCTAAGCTGTGGAATTTTTTATGTCAATGGCGCTGCCTAGGCTGTGAATGTTTTATGTTAGTGGCGCTGCCTAGGCTGTGGATTATTTTATGTTAGTGGCGCTGCCTGGGCTGTGGAATGTTTTATGTTAGTGGCGCTGCCTAGGCTGTTGAATGTTTTATGTTAGCGGCGCTGCCTAGGCTGTGGAATGTTTTAAGTTAGTGGCACTGTCTAGGCTGTGGAATGATTTATGTTAGTGACGCTGCCTAAGCTGTGGAATGTTTTATGTCAATGGCGCTGCCTAGGCTGTGAATGTTTTATGTTAGTGGCGCTGCCTAGGCTGTGGAATGTTTTTTGTTAGTGGCGCTGCCTAGGCTGTGAAATGTTTTATGTTAGTGGCGCTGGCTAGGCTGTGGAATGTTTTATGTTAGTGACGCTGCCTAGGCTGTGGAATTTTTTATGTCAATGGCGCTGCCTAGGCTGTGAATGTTTTATGTTAGTGGCGCTGCCTAGACTGTGGAATGTTTTATGTTAGTGACGCCGCCTAGGCTGTGGAATGTTTTATGTTAGTGGCGCTGCATAGGCTGTGAAATGTTTTATGTTAGTGGCGCTGGCTAGGCTGTGGAATGTTTTATGTTAGTGACGCTGCCTAGGCTGTGGAATTTTTTATGTCAATGGCGCTGCCTAGGCTGTGAATGTTTTATGTTAGTGGCGCTGCCTAGGCTGTTGAATGTTTTATGTTAGCGGCGCTGCCTAGGCTGTGGAATGTTTTAAGTTAGTGGCACTGTCTAGGCTGTGGAATGTTTTATGTTAGTGGTGCCGCCTAGGCTGTGGAATGTTTTATGTTAGTGGCGCTGCCTAGGCTGTGGAATGTTTTATGTTAGTGGCGCCGACTAGGCTGTGGAATGTTTTATGTTAGTGGCGCTGCCTAGGCTGTGGAATGTTTTATGTTAGTGGCGCTGCCTAGGCTGTGAAATGTTTTATGTTAGTGGCGCTGCCTAGGCTGTGGAATGTTTTATGTTAGTGACGCCGCCTAGGCTGTGAATGTTTTATGGAGGGCCTACAAACCCACGAGTGTCAATACCCATTACGATTTTTATTTTAGAAATGTAGATGATGATATTGTAATTTATGAATCAGTCGTTGGGTATTTATCTGAAAATACATGTTTATGTAAGGTTTTTGTAATACATATTCAAATCGACGAAGTCTTTGCTGTTTTGTTTTAAAAAAAAAAAATGTTTCGAAATGCATGTTGTTCTAAAAACAATACAATATTGAAAATCCTAGTTCGTTGTCAACACTTTCAAGAAGGCACGGTAGTGCCGGGCTCGTGACCGAAGGGTGGCGGGTTTCGAATCACGACACGGCGCTGTGTTGTCTCTTTGAGCAAGATACTTTGCTCAGCTTGTTCCAGTCTACTCAACTGTAAATGAGGACGTGGTTGGGCAGTGCTAGAATTGTAGAAAGCTAGCTGTGAGCGCCGAAATGGCAGCACCGGCTGTAGGCTCCCCAGTGAGTTGAGAAAGATATTGGCTGGTTGCAAAGGCCCTATAACCACGGAAAATAATTTGTGAACCGCTTTGAGACGACCTACCAACTAGATTGTGATAAAGCGGTATATAAGAACCTCGAATTATTATTATTATAAGAAAACAAGGGATTGCATGGACAGCCATTAAATGTCAGTTTACGATGTTTACACCGATTGTTCCATATATATCCAAGACTGTTTTATATATCAACAGTTCTGTAGCCAAATGAATGTTTCCTAATATCTAATTTATAATGTTTTTTCTTTGTTTCTTGTGTATGCCCTCTTGTTCTAGATGCTGAAACGTAATCAAAGATACAGAATACAAGTACTATCATTCATTAATGCGAAAATCTGGTGATGGCATCATCATCATAAAAACAAAAATATACATTTTTTTGTATACACATTTTGTTAGGAAGTTATATTATTTAGAAGAAAAATAAATAATGGAACGAAAACATAATGTATTGTATTCCCTACCCGAACCAGTTGTGCACGCAGGTGCGGGAATCGATTGGTTCAACGTCTCTGAAATATAACGTCATTATATCTCGGACATGACCAAGACTACTACTAGTAAGTGCAACGTACATACAGTAGCCTTGCTCAAGTCTGATACTCATTTTTATCATAAGGGACTTGGTTTAAGATTTTGTGTCGCTGTCTGTCCAGTTTGCTCCTTATATTTCCGTTCTCTCCTTCATTGAAGTCTTCTATTCTAATTCACTTGTTAAGTTTTTTCATGTAGGTCTCAGGTAATGGATAATTATATATATCAAAATACAAAAAGAAATGAATGGAAAGAATGTAATCCAAACATTATTCAATATTGTGATGTGATATTTGAATTTTCATAAATTGGGTCAAAGTGGGCAGTTTCCACCCAAACCCACCCAACCTGGATATTTATGCTTAAAATTATCTTTAGCTTCTATCTCCCCAACCCCTCCCTCCCATCATTCCTAGACCCAGGTTTTCATATGCCCTCCAATGCACCCACACTCCTATGTTCTATGAGCAAATACGGTGGTCCGTCACGTGATTTATTACGTGTACCAGCTGGTTTTACACTTTTGGAATACAAAATATACACAATCTACATAACATTACAATCTTGTGAGGATTTTCATTATGCGTCACAGGGTCATTTCGGAAAAACCAAATAACGAAAGTGAAAGTAGAATAATGTTCAAAGAATACGATGTACAACATATATGTGCTGTGAGGTAGCGGTTAGTCCGTGTGTGGCATTTTTATTTATGACCGTTAATTATCAGTTATGTCTTATAGTGTATTGCGCACGGAAGATAGCAAAACACAAATAATAGAACAATAAAAACGGCTTTAATTGAGGAGAGTTTCTCTTCTCGTTCTAAGGACCTCAATCGATCATTTACGCTATACAATATATTTCAAAATAAAAGATCATAATTGTTCATACATCTTTCAAATCTATTTCTGGTAGTGCATTCTGATAGTATCGTTATAACAGAAAAAATATTCAAACGATTTTAGTTAAATTCACATAATGTTACTCCAGCTAGGCTGAAAGCAGACAGCATAATATTAACACTGTGACCATATGACGTCATTTAGTGTCGGGAAAAGAAACTGAAAGTAAAAAAACTTGAATGTTATCGAAAGTGAAAGTAGGTGAGCGCTAGGATTCCACGAAGTATATGTGTGTACACGTAACAACTGTTGCGCAGACATTACCGATGTTTGTCTGCGCGGGAAAACCCCAGATAACGATATTAGCCACACAGACGACAGAAAATATAGCTATTGAGACGGGCGTGTTGGAAGATCGTTCATTGATTCTACCGACACAGGTACGTATTACAACTCTTTACTGTCGCCATCATCATCATCACATTCGTCGTCGTCGTCGTCATCATCATCATCGATATAAAGATAGGGTATATATATATGTACTGTCTCATCGGTTTATGAACAACTCAACGATAGCTACGTGGTTTTAGCTAGCGCTGTGTTTAACTTCCACTATCTCTCAAGCCATGTATTGTATTATTCATGATGCAAATTATTACACGATATGAACCCTAACCCTAATGCAAGGTGATTTCGATAGTGTGAAGAATTTCAATAGAAGTGATTCGTTCGCTCGAAATATCGGAACTGTCCAAAGACTGTCGGGACAAACAGTATCTTTACAGGTACCTTATCTGGAATATAAAGTGCTTGGCTTACCATTACGTCATCTTTGATTTACACAAGGAAATGGTAATTTGTTACAGTTTTATTTGGACCTGAACTTAGGTGTTCAGAGTATGTATTATTACACTTTTAGGGGTTTAGATCAACTTTCAGAAAGAAAGAAAACCCTCTAATGATGATTATCGAAAGTTCATCTAAACCCCTAAAACTTGTAATAGAATTGTCAACACCTCAGTTTAGGTCAAAAGTAGCAAATTCTCAAGTCCCTGTGTCGATTTGTACACCAGCAAACGTCGGCAGGCTAAACCTGCGAGTTTCAACTTTATAAATACCAATTAGACAGATCTAAAGCCTATGTTAAATTATTGTCAATAATTACGTCCGTATTTGTGTCTTTGGTAGTATTTTGTTCTGATTGCCCATTCTATATACTTATGTATCAAGTATAGGATACTCTTCCTACATGTATGTGTATAATAAACGCTCCGTTGTGTTGACTTCGTGATATGACTGAACGCTTGTGAGGTGACGTTATGGTGTATTTTTAGAATTTAACTGCAGCATATACAATGCAGTGTACACGGCTATGTTCTCTTATCAGAGGAAATAAAGAATGTCTGTCTGTGTGTCTTTCTTTCAGAACTTATGTTATGCTTAGAACCATTAGATTTATAAGCTACTAGCCTGCGCCTCTGATTCAACTAAAAAGTAACAGAGCTACATGTAAAACTACAATAAGTATACAGTTTAATACTTCGATATAATGCCCATTGTTCCATTTCACACTTCGCGTACTGCCAACATATTTCAAGGCCCTTTCTCTTTTTCTTCTGTATCTCCTTATAACTTTCCCTCAACTGATCGCCAAACCCCTTGTTAATGCCGAAGCCTATCTGGACAAATTGTGGCAGTGTAACGAGTGCGTAAGTCTGTGACGTCATGTACTTGTCCTATGCGTCAGTGACGTCACAATTGAAACAATTGAAACTTACAACCAATCACAGGGCTGATAGGTCATATTGCACAGGTTAATGGGCAAACGAATATGACATGGGTATATTCACTGGATAACACAGTACACTATGTGATAGATCTATTTATATAGATACAGTTGTTTATAACATGGTAACCTCTTTAATGATATCCATCCAACACGTTTCTAAATGCTTTGATAATGTATATATATCTGTGTGTGCATTTCACGTATAATAACATCATTTACGGGGCACTGCAACTGTTTTGGAGAATGGTCATATTTATATACGTATGCTTTACACATATAACACACAGGGACACGTTATGTGTGTTATAGTAACAAATTATCAGGTCCCTGTGATGTCATACAGCTGAAAAACAATCATACGCCGATAACGAAACCACACATAGCTCAACGTACTGATGTTACCATAGGATATATATATATATATATATATATATGCGAGATTATTGGCTTATGGCAAAAGGACACTGGTACACGATACGTGCACGTATGTATACATGCCCTAACATCTAGGCGCTATCCGATTGTATTCATACAGGTGTGAATTTTAGATTCGTGATAAGCACACGTAATTGTATGTGTGTATTGGGGGGTTCATTATTGACGTATACATGTGTGTATGTGTTTCGTTCTAATTGCCTGATACATTGTCTGAGTAAAACATCTAGGTGTGTTGGTAATTGAAGGTTGATTTCTGTCTAAGCTAGGTATATGTATGGAGATAGGAAATTGTAACAGGGGCATTGTGTATGAGGAGATAATTTATATAAGGGGGTATGGTATATAAGGAGGTATGGTATATTAGGAAGTATTGAGTATGTGGGGGCACTTAACATGTAAATGAGATTTTTTAAATGACGGGGTATGATATATGAAGGGGTATTGTGTATAGGGGTATAGTGCATGAGGGGGTATGATGTATGAAGGGGTATGGTACATGAGGGGGTATGGTGTATGAAGGGGTATGGTGTATGAGGGGGTATGGTGTATGAAGGGGTAAGGTGTATGAAAGGTATGGGGTATGATGTATGAGGGGTATGATGTATGAGGAGTTATGGGGTATGAGGGGTAATGGTGTATAAAGGGGTATGGTGTATGAGGGGTTATGGTGTATGAAGGGGTATGGCCTATAAAGGGGTATGGTTGTGAGAGGGATTATTGTGTAAGGGGACGGGTTATTGTGTATTAGGGGTATGGTGTGTGAGGTGGTATTTTATATGAGGGGGAATGGTGTATGAGGGGATATGGTATATGATGTTGTTAGGTGTCTGATAAAGAAGGAGGTATTTTGTCTAAGAAGGTAAAGTATGGTATATGAAGGGTTTGTTATATAAGGGTATGTTATTTAAGGGGGTATGGTATATGAGAAGGTATGGTGCATGAGAAGATGTGTTATATATGAGAGTGTATGGTGTATGAGGTGATGTGTTATATGAGGAGGTATGGTGTATAAGGAGATGTGTTAAATAAGGATGTATGGGGAGATGTGTTAAATAAGGATGTATGGTGTATGAGGAGATGTGTTATATGATGGGGTTATGGTGTATGAGGAGATGTGTTATATGAGGGGGTTATGGTGTATGAGGAGATGTGTAAAATAAGGATGTATGGTGTATGAGGAGATGTGTTATATGAGGGGGTTATGGTGTATGAGGAGATGTGTTAAATGATGGTGTATGAGGAGATGTGTTCTATTAGGGGTTTTGGTGTATGAGAAGATGTGTTATATGAGGGGGCATGGTGTATGAGGAGATGTGTTATATGAGGTTGTATGGTGTATTAGGAGCTGTTATATGAGGGGGTTTGGTGTATGAGGAAATGTGTTATATGAGGATTTATGGTGTATGAGAAGATGTGTTATATGAGGGTGTATGGTGTATGAGACGATGTGTTATATGAGTGTGTATAATGTATGAGGAGATTGTTATATGAGGGCGTATGGTGTTTGAGCAGATGTGTTATATGAGAAGGTATGGTGTATGAGGCGATGTGTTATATGAGAGGGTATGAGGGGATGTGTTATATGAGGGGCTTTGGTGTATCACTATGAGGAGATGTGTTATATGAGGGTGTATGGTGTGTGAGGAGATTTATTATATAAGGAGGTATGGTGTAATATGAGATGTGTTATATGAGGATGTATGGTGTATGAGGAGGTTGTTATAGGAGGGGGCATGGTGTATAGAAGCATGTTTTATATGAGAAGGTATGGTTTATGAGGAGATGTGTTATATGAGGATGTATTGTGTATGAAGTGAAGTGTTATATGATGGCGTACGGTGTTTGAGCAGATGTGTTATATGAGAAGGTATGTTGTATGAGGAGATGTGTTATTTGAGGGGGTATGGTGTATAAGGAGATGTGTTATATGAGGATGTATGAGGGGATGTGTTATATGAGGGGGTATAGATAGATGTGTTATATGAGGGGGTAAGAGGGGATGTGTTATATAAGGGGGTATGAGGAGATGTGTTATATAAGGGGATTTTGTGTATGAGGAAATGTGTTATATGAAGGGGGTATGGTGTGTGAAGGGATGTGTTATATGAGGGAATATTGTGTATGATGTGATGTTTGATATGAGGATGTATGGTGTATGAGGAGATGTGTTATATCGGGGGGGGGGGGGGGGGGGGGGGGGNTATGAGGAGATGTTTTATATGAGGAGGTATGTTGTAAGAGGAGATGTGTTAAATGAGGGTGTATGGTGTATGAGGAGATGTGTTATGAGAGGGTGTATGGTTTTTGAGGAGATGTGTTATATATGAGGGAGTATGGTGTATGAGGAGATGTTTTATATGAGGAGGTATGTTGTAAGAGGAGATGTGTTAAATGAGGGTGTATGGTGTATGAGGAGATGTGTTATGAGAGGGTGTATGGTTTTTGAGGAGATGTGTTATATATGAGGGAGTATGGTGTATGAGGGGATGTGTTAAATGAGGGTGTATGGTGTATGAGGAGATTTGTTATGAGAGGGTGTATGGTGTATGAGGGAATGTGTCATATATGAGGGAGTATGGTGTTAGAGGAGATGTGTTATATGAAAGGGTATTTTGTATGATGAGATATGGTATATGAGGGTGGATGGTGTTTGATGAGATGTGTTATATGAGGAGGTATGGTGTATGAGGAGTTGTGTTATATGAGGGGGTATGGTGTATGAGAAGGTATGGTGTATGAGGAGATGTGTTATATGAGGTGATTTGGTGTATGAGGAGATGTGTTAAATGAGGATGTATGTTGTATGAGGAGATTTGTTATGAGAGGGTGTATGGTGTATGAGGGGATGTGTCATATATGAGGGAGTATGGTGTTTGAGGAGATGTGTTACATGAGGAGGTATGGTGTATGAGGAGTTGTGTTATATCAGGGGTTTTGGTGTATCAGTATGACGAGATGTGTTATATGAGGGTGTATGTTGTATGAGGAGATGTGTTATATGATGTGATTTGGTGTATGAGGAGATGTGTTAAATGAGGATGTATGTTGTATGAGGAGATTTGTTATGAGAGGGTGTATGGTGTATGAGGGGATGTGTCATATATGAGGGAGTATGGTGTTTGAGGAGATGTGTTATATGAAAGGGTATTTTGTATGATGAGATATGGTATATGAGGGTGGATGGTGTTTGATGAGATGTGTTATATGAGGAGGTATGGTGTATGAGGAGTTGTGTTATATGAGGGGGTATAGTGTATGAGGGGATGTGTTATATGAGGGGGTATGGTGTTTGAGGAGGTGTGTTATATGAGGGTGTATAATGTATAAGGGGATGTATTACATGAGGAGATGTGTTATATGACGAGGTATGGTGTATGAGGAGTTGTGTTATATGAGGGGGTATGGTGTTTGAGTAGGTGTGTTATATGAGGGGGTAAATTGTATAAGGGGATGTGTTATATGAGGAGATATGGTGTATGAGAAGGTATGTTATGTGAGGGGTTTTGTGTATGGGGAGTTGTGTTATATGAGGGGCTATGGTGTATGAGGCGATGTGATATATGAGGGGGTATGGTGTACGGGGAAAAGTGTTATAGGAGGAGTTATGGTCTAAGAGGAGATAAGGTCCTTATTTTAACCTGTAATCTCATCTTTTTAAAGACGAACACTTTGTTTTTTTGTGTTCTAGTACAAAGTCGGAGATTGCATGAAGTCTAGATTCAATGTAATTAGTTTTCAATTAAATGCTTATGACACAGTCTTACTGTAAAGAACAAACACGCTTAATTTTGTGTGGGTAATATAATAGAGCATATGTATCATAATTGTATGTTCATGTAAATGATGAGTGTATATAAGGCCCTTTTTTGGGTCACGTTATATTCGGATTTTCACTTCCTTAATTTGTTTAAAGAAGTCCCATTGTATGACATGCGGAAAAACTAAGGTAAAACTTTGACCGAAAGTGGGTTTCTGGCGGTACCAAAAGGGTAGGATAAATCACAAATATAGTTTGCTGGTTTCAAAATGAGCTCAAAAACCAAAATTATACCATTTCTGTTTTTGAAAACATGTATAAATTAGACAAGCATTTGTAACAGAATGAAAAATAACAAATTCAATCGTCACTTAGAGATTGTTAAATAAAACGAAGGATTAAGTCAGGGGGGTCTTTTTCGGTCATTTTCAATTGAAAAGTAATTTGTTTTCTCGATAATTTCCTTTCTAATAAATATTAAATATTTTGACTTGAAATTTACAACTTCACTCATTTAAGTAGACTTATATAAATTGCGTATTGACTACATACTTTCCTTTTGTTTTATACTGAGTTATGGCTTATGATGTTACATTGCGTGTTGTTAATGTCTGTTCGTGTAAATTTGGTGTTTGTACGCAACATGTTATATCTCTTATGAAAATGCAACCAAGTGCAAGGAAACTTTTTACCAAAAATGCGTTCTTGTATTGATGTACTTTCAGACGGAGAAACCAAGATGATTCACATCTTCACGATAAAACGTACGTAAGCCTTTAATCATCAGTAGTGTTTTGAGGAATGGACGAGGACAGAGGAGAAAGGCGTAGAGGTGGACACAGAGGGGGAAGAGCAGGAAGAGGAGGAGGAAGAGGAGGAGGAAGAGGGGGAGCAGATGGTAGAGGAGGTGGTCGTAGAGGTGATGGGGGAGGCGGGGAAGAAGGAGGCGGCAGAGGAGAACGACGGCGAGGTGGAGCACGAGGAGGAGGTCGTAATGACGGTCAGGGTAGAGCTCCGCGTCCGTGGAAAACTCGCCTAGGCTTTAGGAAACTTACCGAGTTACAACATAAGGAGCCTTCTGATATTCTTATATCAATAGCTTACTCCGACAGTGGCCTCCAAGAGGGATTGAATGACGCTACACTCAACGGGGACTTTGTCACACTGTTCCTAAGGTGTATAGCTAAGGCCTGTCAGTGTCAGTCCGCTCCGGCAAAGATCATACAGCTTCTGACTCTGATACACAATTCTACTTTCATTAATACCACACTTCCAGCTTTCATTACAAGAATGATGTTGGAACAATCTCCAAACAGACAACGAGAATTCAAAGAGCCTCTTCACGACTCCATATGTATCATTTCAGAGATCGCCCGTCGGAGTCCTAGCTCAATAACATCTGTCTTTGGTGTAATTGGGATTCTGGATACCGTTTTAAAAACACTTCGAGCGACGACCGAAATCATAGACGATGATTTGTTAAAGGCTTTTGATGATTGTTGCACGCTGAAAGACCAAATGCTTGAGGAAGTGCAGAAAAGATCAAGAAGGAAAGAAGGAACTGCTGTGAGACATGATGAGGACGAACCTCCGGATAACTTTCGTGAAATTTCCGTGTTCCCTGAAAAATCTGATATTCAGATGGAAGAAGGTCCGTTTCTGCGTAGGAACATCAGAGAAGGAGCTTTCAAAGACCTTGCCCATTACCTCGACGTCCAGTTCAGACTCCTGCGGGAGGACTTTGTGGGACCTCTACGAGAGGGAATCATTGGCTATATAACAGCAGTACAGACTGGAAAAGAAAAACGTTCAAACGAAATGCGTGTTTATCATGACGTCCAGGTGATATGCCCGATCGGAACTAATAATGGGCTGTGTCATCGAATCTGTTTCGACGTCAGCAGAATGCAGAATGTGAACTGGGAGTCGAGTAAGCGTCTCATTTTCGGTTCTTTGATTTGTCTCTCAAGTGATAACTTTAAAACGTTATTGTTCGCAACCGTCGCTGAGCGAGACGCCAAAAAACTCAAAGAAGGAATTTTGGACATTAAATTTGAAGGCATGAGTAGGAGAACTTTCAATTTGGATTTCAACAAGAAATATGTCATGGCAGAAACGGTTGCATATTTTGAAGCTTATCGACACGTCCTTAAAGGCCTTCAAAACATCAATGAAGGCGATCTTCCATTTGAAAAGTACATAATTAAATGCAACACTAAAATGCAAGCTCCCCTTTACCTCAGGCAAAACCAAGATGCAAAACTGGACTTGCGACCGCTCGTAGATGATCATTTTATATTAAGGCAACAGGCACTTCCACCTCTGGCTAAAGAATTCAGTGACAAAGCGGCCGTCGCGAGGTCGGTAGAACCTAAGGGTGTGTGGCCTAGCTCGGAGCTGTTACATCTTGATCGATCTCAGTTTCGTGCTGTTAAGCGAGCACTTACCAGTGAGTTTGTCCTCACCCAGGGTCCTCCAGGAACAGGCAAAACCTATATCGGACTTAAGATAGTGAAAGCTCTCCTCCACAACCACGCCCTTTGGAACACCAATCTCGAAACACAAGAGCCAGACTGCAGGCCGATGCTTGTAGTCTGCTATACTAACCATGCTCTTGATCAGTTCATCGAAGGCATAAGCTCGTTCTTCAAAGGATCCATACTAAGAGTCGGTGGAAGGAGTTCCAGTGAAGCCATGAAACAGTTCAATTTGAACAGTATGCGCACCCGAATGCGGGAGAAACGAGAGGTACCAGAGGAAATACACCGTGGAAGGATGAACGCAAGGAGCGAAATGAAAGACCTCCAAGAAGCAATAAACCGTATATCGGGTTCCTTAGAAATTGCTAGCCGAGAGCTTTTAAACGAAGATGTGCTAGAATCGTTCATGGGGAGATTTTACGCAGAGATCGTTGATACAGAACACATGTTCAACTATTTCGACGAAGGGTTTTCAACTCAACCAAGAAAGAAACACGCTGCTGTATTGGACTGGCTCAGTATCGATACCCTTGCATTTGGCGAAAATGAGCAGAACGCAGATTGGAGGGGTGAAGAAGGCCAAGATGCTTTTGTTGCTGCTGCTGCCGCAGCAAACGTAGAAGTCCAACATCAACCGCAAGGTGGGGCACAATTAAACGCCCACGCTATGGTATTACCTGTAGCTCAAGACGATGGAAACGAAGAGGAGGAAGAGTTCGTCGATGTTTTGGATGAAGTAGATGCTATGATCGCTCAGAGGGAAATCGATGAAGATCTCGACGATGTTTATGACACAGAAATGGAAAAGGCGGAACTTGTGATGCTGAAGATAAACTTGAACAAGAACACTGTAGCATTGAATGTAACCAACTTGGATGAAAAGGACGAAAACCGAAATAATGGTTGGCAGATGACAAAAAAGCAAAAGAAAAATCTGAAAAAACGATTACGAAGAGAGCTCGTATCATTAGACAGAATGGATGAAACGGAAATCGACACGATTTATGACGTTTGGCAGTTGAGCCTGAAAGACAGATGGCGACTATACAGGTATTGGATTAACCAGTTCTCAGTTAAGATGAGGGAGAGAATCAGAGAAAAAGTTCAAGAATACCAATCTGCATGCGATCAGCACCGAGAGATTTTAATGCATGAGGACAAGGGAATTATCAGACGGGCGACCGTGGTCGGAATGACAACCACTGGGGCAGCAAAGTACCAGACAGTCTTGCAGGAAATTGGTCCAAGAGTGATCGTTGTAGAGGAGGCAGCAGAGGTGTTGGAAGCGCATGTAGTCACAACACTCAGCAGACACTGCCAACATCTGATCCTCATCGGAGACCACAAACAACTCAGGCCAAATCCAACAGTCTACAAACTCGCTAAAGATTACAATTTAGACCTGTCCTTGTTTGAAAGGATGATAAAAAATGACATTAAGCTTGATTGCCTTGGACTTCAACACAGGATGCGCCCGGAAATTTCAAAGATCATGACGTTGATATACCCGGAGTTGCAAGATCACAGCATTGTAAAGACGTACGATAAAGTCAAGGGGGTTACATCCAATGCTTTCTTCATAAACCACAGTTTTCAAGAACAAGAAGATAACGACCTGAAGAGTCACTCAAACAGTCATGAAGCCAAGTACATTGCTGGTCTCTGCAAGTACTTCCTGCTACAAGGTTACGAACCAGAGCAGATCACCATCCTCACGCTCTACTCTGGACAGCTGTTTACCATTAAAAAGGAAATGCCAAAGCAAACATTCAGTGGCGTTCACATTACCGTTGTCGACAACTTTCAAGGGGAAGAAAATGACATTGTTCTACTGTCACTTGTCAGGAGTAACAATAACGGAAAAATAGGATTTTTGAAAATCGACAATCGAGTTTGTGTTGCATTGTCTCGGGCTAAAAAGGGCATGTTTGTTATAGGAAACATGGATATGATGGCACAAGGAAGCAAGCTTTGGAAGAACATTGTTTCTCATGCACAGAAAGAGAGGATGATCGGAGAAGGTCTAAGACTTGTTTGTCAAAATCACCCAGAAGACAATGGACTCATAGCCAAAGTACCTGGGGATTTCCGAAAAGCTCCTGAGGGTGGATGTATGAAGCCATGCCAGTTCCGTCTTGAATGTGGCCATACCTGCAGTATGGTCTGTCACGTACTAGACCAAAAGCATGAAAAAGTTCAATGCAGAAAACGTTGTGAGCGTAAGATTTGCACTAACGGTCATAAATGCAAAAAGATGTGCTACCAAAAGTGTGGTGAATGTCCAATTCTTATGCCGAAAAAGATACCGCAATGTGGTCACACACAGGACGTTCCTTGTCAAATCGATCCTAACTACTTCCGCTGTGAAGAAAGGTGTGAAGAAAACTTACCGTGTGGACACCGATGTGCAGAGGCATGTGGAGAGGATCATACAACAGAGTGTCAGAAACTTGTTCTTAAGTCCTGGCCATCTTGTAGACACGCTGGAATGGTAAAATGCTCAGAAAAAGTCACGAAAGAGTGCGTTGAAGAATGTCAAGATATCTTGGGATGTGAACATCTTTGTTCTGGAAGCTGTGGGTCATGCCTGATGGGAAGACTTCACAAAGCCTGTACAATGTCATGTGGCCGAACCTTAATTTGTGGTCACGAGTGCGCGGATCGATGTTCTAGATGCCCACCATGCAAAAGAGTTTGTGAAAATCGCTGCATTCACAGTAAATGCCAGAATCGTTGTGGGGAACCATGCGCACCTTGTAACGAGAGGTGTGAATGGACATGTAAGCACTATACCTGCATGAATTTGTGTAATGAACCGTGCGAGCGTCCCCGATGCAACCAACCGTGCAAGAAGAGACTCGAATGCAATCATAATTGCATAGGAATGTGTGGAGAAAAATGCCCTTCACTTTGCAGAGTTTGTCACAGAGATGTTGTGACAGAAATACTTTTCGGAGATGAAGATGAACCTGATGCGAGATTTTTACAACTAGAGGACTGTGGCCATATTATCGAAGTCCATGCCATGGACACCTATATGGACCAAGCTTCTACTGATGAGCAGAATGAAATTTTGGTAAAAGGATGTCCAAAATGCAAAACACCGGTTCGCAAAAATTTGCGATATGGAAATATAATAAAGCAGACTTTGAGGAATATCGAGCAAGTCAAACGAAAACTACTCGGCGACGAACAAAGAATAAAAGTTCTTTTAGATGAAATCCCAGATGAAATATCCGAATTGGGACCAACGGATAGCATTATCATGATGAAAAAGTTCAAAGCGATACTAGAAGAGAAAGACATTCCAAGTCACAACCGCATCAAGCAACATTTAATCGGCAAACTCTGTGAAGAAACTCTAGTTACCGTCCAGAATCAGACAGCTTTCCTCAAACGACTAAATGATCTTGGAAGAAAATACAGGGACACAGTGCCATCTTCAGATTTGGATGCCGTATTTGAACAAGCAAAGGACCATATAGGCCGACTTAGGCTATGGATACTCAAACAAAGGACGTACTTCACACAACAGGAAACTACTGACGTTGTCGATGAAATACGTAGGCTAACACTCCTTAGAAACTTTCTCCTGTATAAAACACAAATTAGAAATAGGAACGTTGCATTGGACGACGACTTAAAGAGAAGAATGCAGGTGGCAGAAAAGATGCTTACCGATGGAATGAAGTTCACTGAGCCAAAGCAGAAGAAAGTTAAACACACCTTAAAGATGCTTGAAGAAGTCGTCCCTAAAACAGGGCTTGGGATTACAGAAGAGGAACGGATGCAAATCAATAAGGCTATGGGTATGGGGGCAGGACACTGGTTTAAATGTCCAAATGGTAAATATCTATCAAACTCTTTAAAATTGGTTAAGTAGTGATCTTTCAAAGCAAGGTAAATATTGGGGATTTTTTTTACATATGGATATATATAATAAAAAAGATCCAATGTCAATGTGAAGTAGGTAATTATAGAAAAAATAGATCTAAAGACCGACTTAAAAAATAGCTGCATTCACCCTTCACAGGACTCTTCAGATGTATTTTCAAAGCACAACATCATGACGTCACAATTACATGTCATCACACAATAATAGCAACATGACGATATAATATATGCAAGATTGATGGCGCAAAAAAAGACTGTGGCCTGTTGGGATTAGTTTTGATATTTTGATTAAAAAGTCTTCTTTCTTTTCTCTTTTGTACATTGTGACGTCACGTTACTATTGTAGTGTGATGGCAGATAATTTGGACGTCACGGTGTTGCCCTTTTGAAATAAACTTGAATGGACATGCAATTTTTTATTTTACATATATATTACGTGAAGTCGTCTGGTGCCAAAGGCAATACAACTGTTACAACAAATATAACCTTTGTCACGGAATTCGCTTCATATTTATCATTTTACATCGGCAGTTGCATGTATTTTTTTCATTTGTATAATAGCATGCTATAATAGGGTTTTTATTTCATTACAGGACACGTGTACGCTATTGGAGACTGTGGTGGTGCAACGACGCAGGGGACCTGCCCAGAATGCAAAGCGACTATTGGAGGTGGTTCCCACACACTGCGGTCGGACAACGCATTTGCGCCTGAAATGGACGGCGCAGCTGCGCCAGCGTGGCCTACTGCACTGATTCACAATATTGAGAATTTCCGGTTAGACCAATGAAGTGTTTTGACAAAAAAAGACGGAGATATATACTGACATTGAAAGTACCATTACATCATAGACAGAAATATTGTTTTATATGTATTCACTATGTCAACGACTCCAGATTCCTTTCCATTGAGGGTTATCAATATTTTGTTTTACTGATTTTGAATATATATCCCAGAAAATAAATCAATAGTATAATGTTGACATTTATTTGCTTTGAAGAGCCATGTATAGAATATGTTATCATTTCGCATTTATTCTTTCATTACTGATCACTTATTAGGTTTTTTTTATATATCTTCTCGTTTTCACAATGTGAAATACATCACTCAAAAAATATAAATGACTTTAACCAAATGGCAAAGAATGACGTCATATCCTTATTATTCGTAGTTACTTCTATATTGCTGGATTTTTTTTTAATTATATTTTCCAACATTTTATGACATAAACATATACATACAATGTACATGGACGTCTATAATCGCCTTTACATAATGTACATACGCTCACGTATCAGTATTCGTCATACAAATATATTAAAAAATAAGTATACATTCACATTTTTGATATGAAAAAAAACTTCCAGATATTATTGTCCTGGAATATAACTGGAATTAAATAGCTTTATTAGATGTACTTTTTTCGAATAAGCTGAATTGACTTTTGCATGCGTTATCTAAAATTGTTTTCAATTTTTTTTTAATTTTCTTTTTGCATATGACTGAATAGCATATTTTTTGTGATGTTATTGTTATCTGATATATGGGATTTTTGTGTGTGTTTTACCTACTACGGTTAAAGAGGAATGAAATTTGTACCCAGATGTATATAGCGAAAATATTGTAATGTTTGTATAATCAAACCCGTATACTAAAACCACGTTTGGGAAAGCCAACTGGTTATTAAGTGTATGTATGTGTTTTTTAAATTGTGTATGTAAGTTAACAAGAGTATTGTAATTGGGCGTTTTATAAGCGGCGTCATACATCCAAAGTCTCTGAGGATCGTGGTCTCTTATGAGCAGATTTGATTGAAATACTGTATGTAACACGTTACACTGTATTCATACAAATTCATTGCTTATTGAAAATATTACTTGATTTTTTATTTTATATGAAACTATAAAAAAAGTTTTTTTTCGTAAATCATGTACGAATGTGGCTTAGTGAGTTGTATTTAGCGGTTTATAGTCGAGACACCGGTGAAACAGACGTTTTCGAAAGTTCGCAACATAAGTTTTAAATTCCTGTTTGTGTTAAAAACAAACCTAGCCTTTAAGGCTATTTAGTTTGCCATATACGTGCTGAAGTATACAATCGTGATTACTTTCATAAATCTCGTATAAAAGCTAATATCAGATTATGTTTATCACATAACAAAATATCGATAAATGTCTTCAAGCCTTTTGTCGTCATTATGACATCACAATTTTTTTTTATATAAACTCAGTGATGCATTGAAGTTGTGACGTCACCCTATTACGTGTACAATGGGAAACTCCTGTCAATCTCAGCTCCACAACGTATTATTAAGCTTGCGTTTAAAACACAAGTTTCTGAGCTGATTTTTCATTCTTGTTTTAAATAACTTTGCTCATTATGTCTTATGTTGAATTACCGTGCATCCAAATGTGATAAAATAATCACTATATAACCAGAATGTGTATTTTGAATGTGTATATTTTTTTTTATTTTTTTTCAACCTGCAGATACGTTTTTTTTTAATTATATATCGTTTAAATCACATTCTCAATAGAAAGATTTGCTATTTTTTCATTATGTTTCTCACTAATTTTGAAATACGGAGTTGCGAGCCGTGAATTTTCTAGGCACCAAAAAACTAAGTGAACTATTTGTAAGTGTAAGATCATTGTAAATATGACAAAGACTACTGAGGCTATTAATCAAGTCTAAACTACAAGATATGCCATAGATAAATTGATTTATTAACACAACGTTAAACGTCTCATATAGTTTTATCAGATGATAACCTAAGCATAACATTTTATCGTTTTGAAGCGCTATCTATATGGTTTGTATACCTTTATAAATCCTGACACATACCCACTGAACCATAAAGTCAATCTTTGAAGCGTAACGTTTTATCATTCAAGCTTACTGTACAGAGCTTTAATGATACTGTTTGCAATAATTGACATAACAATGTAAACTTTTGACCTCCCCTTAATTTGATTTTTGAATAACTAGCACAGTATGACCAGGACCTCCATTGACCAGGTAGCTCGTTGGTTAGAGCGACGGTGTAACAATCTGAGGTCCTGGGTTAGAATCCAAGTCTTGCCTCGCTGAATAGCACGGAACGATAGTCTAGTGGTAGGACGCCGGGCTCGTGACCGAAGGGGTGCGGGTTCGAGTCACGGCAAGGCACTGTGTTGTATCTTTGAGCAAGATACTTTGCTCCACTTGTTCCAGTCTACTCAGCTGTAAATGAGTACGTGGTTGGGCAGTGCTAGAATTGTTGAATGCTAGCAGTGAGCGCCTAAATGGCAGCACCGGTAGTACGCTCCCCAGGGAGTTGAGAAAGATATTGGAAGTTAGCAAAGGCGGATAATAATTTGTAAACCGCTTTGAGACAACCTACGATCTAGGTCGTGATAAAGCGGTATATAAGAACCTGGAATTATTATAATTATTACTATTAATATGTACTATCAAAACACTGTTGCAAATTATATTTATATAGATACATTTTATTTCATCTTTAATAGTTTTGTCATAAATGTCCCGCGAGGTTTGGGTTTCTTTTCATAAACTGTCAAACCAATGGTAGTTACGATTGTTGGAAGTGGCAATGGGATCCTTAACATTTAAAATAAGAAAACCTATGACATCGTAGATATTGTATAAGTTCACTGATATGTATCACTAATTATTGTCTGTACCATAAGAACTTGCTTATCTAAAGCTTAAACACATTTTTACAGTGTAATTTAAGTTTTTGTATATAAATGAATCATGTCATGTAGTAATCATGACAATAAGATATTTGTTTGTCTCAATGCGACGTCACAGAAGTGATATGGGTGTAAGATAGACATTCCACGCTCCTCTATTTTATCCTTGGTACGTAGTTATGTCATATATGTACACGAATGAGAGAAAAGCTACACGTACCCAGGGAAAGACAACTCACTATTGCTATTATCCTGAACACGGCATAATAGCGTCATTATTTTCTGTTTAATGTGACATGGACCACGGTTGTGTCACGCATTTCACGTGTCGTTGTGATCGCGTTCACCATTAAATACTATTTTACTAAATACTGTTTTATGGAAAGTGTGGCAGAACCATAAAAGTTAACTCCTTGCTCTGTGATACAGGCAAAACAAATAGCCATAGGGTAAGTTTTGCTCTGTCCAATTAACAAAGACGAGTAAGTGACTCTATTAGTCTTACTCCCTGTTTTATTTTTTGATATTTACATGTCTATTTTGAGGTCATACCATTTTAGTGTAACAAGTGTTGCCATCTCCTGAATTTTGAGGAGTTACGCTCGCATTCGTTCTCTTCACCCTTAGAACATGTCATGACAAAATAGAAGGTCCGCGGTTTGCAATTTGAAGGTCTCATTATAAAAATAACTTTCTAAGTGATACTTTTCCTTTGAAGTTTGCATGAAAAGTGACACATTACTTAAAGCTGGTTAATTTTACCGTTACACTGCTGCGGGGTTCTATTGATGGACAGCAAAAGATTAGACTTATCTACTAGATATCATAAATGAGGCAGTGCATATGATCATCGTGTATATGATCATTGACGGTGTCATTTTTACCGAAAGTCGATCTTAACACTTAAAACATGTAAAATTACTCTGAACACCTTTGTTTAGGTCCATATATAGCTGTAACAAATTATCAGGTTCTTGTGGTCTTAATTACGTTTCAAGCCTACATTAATCTATAAAAAGATATACACATTTGCTTAAGACATTAACCAGATCAACAAAGATGTTTCACTGAATAAAGACTTAAAATGAGGTCAGATCATGGAAACTGAGCTAAGGCGAGGTAATGAATTCGTCTGATTGCGAATTCATTTTTTGGTAACTGAAATACCAAGTTTATTTTAGAGGTATATTCCATTATTCCAGTGCTTTATATAAGGTTTCAGGTATTATTATTTTCGTGAAAATATGATACATATTGTTGCAAAAATATGTGAACCGTTGCATTAAAACAATTTGATCAATTTAATGTGAATTGTGTTATTATTAAAGATATTCGGTATACCCGTACACTTTGGCCCTGTCAAAAATTCACCCTTCACTGGTAAAATCTGTCTTCGACCAGTCAAATATTCACCCTTCACTGGTAAAATCTGTATTCGCCCAGCCAAATATTCACCATTCACTGGTAAAATATGTATTCGCCAAGTCAAATATTCACCCTTCACTGGTAACATCTGTATTCGCCCAGTCAAATATTCACCCTTCACTGGTAACATCTCTATTCGCCCAGTCAAACATTCACCCTTCACTGGTAAAATATGTATTCGCCCAGTCAAATATTCACCCTTCACTGGTAAAATCTCTATTCGCCCAGTCAAACATTCACCCTTCACTGGTAAAATCTCTATTCGCCCAGTCAAATATTCACCCTTCACTGGTAAAATCTCTATTCGCCCAGTCAAATATTCACCCTTCACTGGTAAAATCTCTATTCGCCCAGTCAAATATTCACCCTTCACTGGTAAAATCTCTATTCGCCCAGTCAAATATTCACCCTTCACTGGTAAAATCTCTATTCGCCCAGTCAAATATTCACCCTTCACTGGTAAAATCTCTATTCGCCCAGTCAAATATTCACCCTTCACTGGTAAAATCTCTATTCGCCCAGTCAAATATTCACCCTTCACTGGTAAAATCTCTATTCGCCCTGTTAAATATGCACCCTTCACTGGTAAAATCTATATTCGCCTTTCACTGGTAAAATCTCTATTCGCCCAATCAAATATTCACCCTTCACTGGTAAAATCTCTATTCGCCCTGTTAAATATGCACCTTTTACTGGTAAAACCTCTATTCGCCCAGTCAAATATTCACCCTTCACTGGTAGAATCTCTATTCGCCCTTCACTGATAAAATCTCTATTCGCCCTGTTAAATATGCAATTTTTACTGGTAAAACCTCTATTCGTCCTGTTAAATATGCACCTTTTACTAGTAAAATCTCTATTCGCCCAGTCAAATATTCACCCTTCACTGGTAACATCTCTATTCGCCCTGTTAAATATGCACCCTTCACTGGTAAAATCTATATTCGCCTTTCACTGGTAAAATCTCTATTCGCCCAATCAAATATTCACCCTTCACTGGTAAAATCTCTATTCGCCCTGTTAAATATGCACCTTTTACTGGTAAAATCTCTATTCGCCCTGTTAAATATGCACCTTTTTTACTGGTAAAATCTCTATTCGCCCTGTTAAATATGCACCCTTCACTGGTAAAATCTGTAATCGCCCTGTGTACATTTCTCTCTCCACATGCGATTACTATAAAGAGTAAACGTTGTACTCGCTTGTATTCGCTTCAATTCCAGGATAAATTCGCCCTTCTTGCGGAGTGCAAAAAAGGCGAAAATTAACCTGCATCGGAAATGTCCTGATATATAGTATTTGCGCTCTAATAACAAACCAGATAATAACCGCAGGGACATATTATCTCTATATAAAACATACTAAAGTTTGGTCGACAGGACTTACATCAAAATGAAACCAGGCAACAAATCTTACATACAAACATAATTATCTCCAGTTTCATCTCCCTTAAACAACGTTGGATAGCATATTTAATAGTTTAGTTTAAACATATTTTATTGACAAGCAAAAGGATTGGGCACAAGTTCTTTAACTTAAATTAAGCCCTTTCCCAGCAAATTACAAGCATATATTTACAAGATGGCAGACTATTTCATTTTTAAATGTTTTAATTTATTTATAAATCGAAAGTAAGAGAGAGAGAGAGAGAGAGAGAGAGAGAGAGAGAGAGAGAGAGAGAGAGAGAGAGAGAGAGAG